CACCCCTCTATTAAATCAACCCCAGTGGCTCCCTATTGCTTTTAGGATCAACTAATCCTTTGTTTGGCTCTTAAAGCCATAAACTGGCTTCTTCTTGCCTTTCCACTTTTCTTGTACCTTACTACCCTTCATGTACTCTTTGATCCATAACACTCCATTTCCCAGATCCTGGTGTTTACATTGGCTGTCCCTCATGCCTGGAAACATTCTTCTCCTAGCTTCTCTACCTTCCTTCAAGTCTCAGCTAAAGTCCTACCTTCGGCAAAAAAGCCCTTCAAAGTCTTCCTTCACCTTGGTGCCTGCCCTCTGAAGTTATCTGAAGTTATCTTCAGTTTTTTTCTGTAAAGCTCATGTGTACTGAGCTGTTTGCATGCTGTCTCCTCCCTGTGCTCAAGAGCAGGGACTGATTTTTGCCTTTCTTTATATTCCCCCAGCTTAGCAGAGTGCCTGTCTCACAGTATGCTCCTAACAATGTTTTTAGATGTGACAACATAACTTGTGATTTCACAGTCTTGGTCAAAGCCACCTCCATTCACTCAGACGCTCCTGTAGAAATCCTGGTATTATCTTTGATCCTTCCTCTCCCATGACCAGCTACTAGGTGCTGCTAAATGTATCTCCAGGGCAGCTCTCATGTTTGTTCTTCCTTCTCTATTCCTAATTCTCTCTACTACAGGAGAGGTCTTTATTTATACCCCCTGGGACTACTGTAGTATCCTCTAATACACACTTCTCAACCTATTGAAGGTAATATCAAGGGTAGCCTTGGCCCTGGTGTGTCCTGCTATGTGCTTTGCCTGATGAACTCTTATTGTTTTCTTTTTTTTTTAATTTTTAGAGATCTCTTAATTTTATCATTCAGTGTTTTCCAGAGTTGTTATTGACATACAATTTCTCTTATATCTCATAACAATTTCCCCCAAATCCACTATTTTAACACATGAAGATTCCATTTTTCTTTAGCAATCAAGAATGAACATCATTTTAAGTATCCATTATTCTAGCTTATCCAGAACTGAAATCTGTGCCTGAAGCTGATTGAGGTGATCAAGGCTGGTCTTCAGCCTGATGCCCATTTTCTCATTTTCTGAGGACACATGCTGGTTCTGCACTTTAAGCTGAACTAGTTCTGTCTCCTCACAGCTCTTATGTTCTTTCAGACCCTCATTCTCCTCATTCAGGACAGTGATCCTGTGCTCTAATGTCTTAGTGACATCTGTCAGAGATTCTATCTCTCCTGCAGGTCCTGAGCCTTTTGGAGTTCACCATGCACATCTGAATTCTGTTTCTGGAGACTAACACATGTCTTTCAGCTCTTGGTTCTGTTGACACAGTTCTTCTATTCTTTTTTTGGGGGGAGGCTGGGCAATGGGGTTAAGTGACTTGCCCAGGGTCACACAGCTAGTAAGCGTCAAGTGTTTGGTCTGAGGCTGAATTTGAACTCAGGTTCTCCCGAATCCAGGGCTAGTGCTCTACCCACTGTGCTACCTAGCTGCCCCTGTTGGCACAGTTCTTGGTTGAGCTACTCAATCTCCTCCACCTCTCCCTGAATGGTGACCACTAAGACATCCCCCTCACTTTCTGGATGGAACTGGAAAGGGACACTGCCCCCCCCACCAGACAACACCGTTATCCTTGGATAGATAGGAGGCTTTAAACTGCACTTGCTGCTGCCAGGACAATTCTCTGTGGAGGCTGGCAGGCAAAGCCGTCTCCACAAAGATGTCATGTGCTTGGGTTGTCTTTCATCCTACACTAAAGATGCTAACAGTCTTTATGGCGGGGAATGAAATGCTGGGTGAGGGTGTAACAGCATGTGATGTGTCCTCTGGGAAGCTAAAATTTCTCCACATAGTTAAAGATGATCTGAGAGAAATGGCAATGATGCAGCAGGACGGCTGACATCGGGGGCTCTTCCACGGTGGGGGGGGGGCTTCCACAGCAGCAATAGCAGCCACAAGCAGCTGTGTTGCAGCACCAACAAGGGCAGGGGGGTGGGGAGGTGGGGAACATCACAGGGAGAACTCTTCACCAGCCCCACCCCCAATCCATTATTCTTAATGAGGGCTCCAACAGTTTTCCAGTCATCCATCTGTGTACGTAACATCACCTTAGGCCAGAAACATTGCAATAGGCTGCTGAGGGGTCTCCCTGCCTCAGCCTCTCCCCACTCTGGGCCACCCTCTACTCAGATGTCAAATTGTTCTTTCTAAAGTGCAGGTGTTTCCAAAAGACTCTTGATGGAAACTGCTATCCACATCCAGAGAAAGAATTGACAGACGCTGAGTGCACATCAAAGCACACTACTTTTACTTTCTTTGCCCTTTCCATGCTTTTTTTTCCCTTTTGTTCTGTTTCTTCCTTCAAAACATGAGTAATGTGGAAATATGTTTTACATGATTGCAGATGTATGACCTATAGATTGTTTGCGGTTTTGCGGAGGGGTGAGGAGAGAGGGAGAAAAATTTGTAACTCAAAATCTTATTTAAAAAATGAATGTTGAAAACTATCCATGTAATTGGAATAAAATAAACTATTATCTAAAAAATAAAATGGACGCAAGACCATGTTATTTCCCTATTCAACAAACTCCAGTGGCCCTCTGTTACCTACAGGAACAAAAAGATTTGGAACTCAACATCTTGGGGAAGTAAATTTTGAAAAGTAAAAATTAATTAATTTTTAAAAAGGAACAAAAATAAAATCCTGTTTGACTTTTAGACTGGGCATGCCTTCAAAGCAAGGAACATTTTCTGCCTTTCTTTGCGTCCCCAGCGCTTAGCCTGGTGCCTGGCACTTGGAAGGCACTTAATGCTTACTCGTTTGATTTGACTGATCTTCTGGAGCTTCACCCTCCTCATCTACAAAATGAAGGGTTTAGACCAGCTGGCCTCAGAGGTCTCTTCCAACTCTAGGTCGATGCTCTATAATCAAAGGGCATTGGTTGCTAGAAAATGTAGCAAAGGAAAGAATGAAGTCCTTGAACCGCTTTCTCACCAAAGAATACGCCAGAGGAGCAGTTCCCTTGGAAAGGGACAGGTTACTTAGAGGTTAACCAGGACTTCCTTGGGACCCAACGGCTCCTAACAAACATTTAGTTCCTTGCTTCCCTGTGTCATTTATTGCTTTCTCTGATACTTTATATCCCTAAATTCCTGAGATCTTTGTTTCCAAAAATGATGACTTCATAGATAAGATTCATATCAGCCCAGGTAAAAGAGATTGGCAGCCTAGATGCCAGGAATAATAACAAATGTCTGCATCCTTCCAAACGTTCATTGGTGGAGAAGAAAAAGATAAACATTCCAATGGATTGGATAGAATCTATGAGAACCTGGAAACTGAAACATTGCTCAGAAATTTCTGTACAAAAAGGAAAAGTAGCTGAGAGATCTTGAGCTTCATCCCCCACCAGCCCTGTAGGGAGCTGCCACTCTCCCCACATCTCCCCAGCTCCCATTTACTGCTCTGACACTGACAGGTGTCTGCACTCTCCAAAGGGGGAGAAGAGCCCAACTTGGATGAAGAGCAGAGGAGGCCCAGCATCCTCATTTCCACCCCTCTGACACTGCTGCTGCTGGTCAAGAATGGCCTCCCATAAACTTCATTAGGAAAAGGTAAGTTCTGGGCAGCCCCACCCATTGCATGGCAATGAACTGACTGCAAAAATCATTCATTTAGAAAGTATTTCATCCTAAGCATTATGGGCAAATGGTATGGTGATTTTAACAACTGATTTCCCTCTATTTAGTCCAAAGAGCACTAATTCAGGGGATGAGATTCCGTCAGACTTCTACCAAAGGTCCAGGAAACGTCTGGAATTAGATTTCATAACTGTGGCCAAAGGGAGAATTGTTAACTAATAAGACTTAGAGGAAAACCAGAGGAGAAAACTATTTTGATTACCTGAAACTGAGAGGCCTTTGCATAACAAGATCAACAGCTAAAAGAATTGTTGATGGGAAAAATGTCTTTGCATCAAATGTCTCTGATAAAAGCCCATTATCCAAGACATGTAGGGAACGAACATCAATGTACAAGGCCTGTAGAGAAGAGGTCAAAGAAAATTAATAATTCTCAAGTTTGCTCCAAATCACTAACAGTGAGAGAAATGGAAGTTAAAAAAACCTGAGGTTTCACCTTTTCCCCAGCAAATCTTCCAAGGTGATGCCACATGAAAATGGCCAATGCGGGAAGGACTACACACAGACAGGTAGATGATGCCCTATTTGTGGAGCTGTGAACTGGTACAACAATCATGAAAAACAATGCGGAATCATGCTCAAAAGTGCCAAGATCTCCATACCATTTGACCCTGAGATCCCACAGCTTAACATATATGCCAAGGGTGTAAAAGGTGGGGGAAAATATCTTGGATATGTGTGTGCAGCAAAACAGTGGCAGCAAAGAAAGAACAAAAGTAGGTGCCCATGAACTGAGAAAGGACTAAGCAAATTGTGGTACCGAACATGATGGATTGTGCTGTAACAGAAGAAACAACGAAAATGAGAAATTCAAAGGGACATGGGAAGACTTCAATGAACTGACACAGAATAGTGTGAGCAGAACCAAGAAAGAAACATACCCAAGACTACAAAATGGCGGGGGGAATGATGCTGAATGTTATGGAATCATAGTTACCAAGCTTGGCCACAGAGAAGAGGAAACAAACACTTCATGGAAGAAGTGGGGAGACTACGGTATGTACTGTTGCACAGACTGTCAGTTATATGTGATCAATGTGAGGGTTATTATGCAATTTTTGAGTAAAAGTTTTTTTATGAGGAAAAGCTATGGGAGGAAGGTATATATTAATCAATGAATATAACATAAACACAAAATGTATTACTAAAACTTTAATTTTTTAAAGTGCAATGGAGGGGCACATGACAGGCAAGCATAGGCTACAGCATATTGTCAAAGAAGAAGTGAACAGAGTGATAGAAGGAAAGTCACCAGAAAGAGGTGGGCCCATCACAGAGGGAAAGCTAAGGATTTGCGGTCAGATAGCCTGGGAGGGCCAGTGGTATCTATGTAATATCAGGAAATGTAGAGGAAGGCCATCAGCATGCTGGTTACTCAACCTGTGCAGGAATTATGGGAGAAAATGGACAAGAGGCACCCAGGATAAAAGGTGTGGCTGGATTGCAACCTGCACCTCTGGAGGCATTGCACACTTTGACAGATTCTACAAATTCCAAGTGCTGAACTTTCCTCCCTCTGCTCCCTTCACTTTGTCTCCATGTCACCAAGCACCAGCTGATTTTCAGTCTTCTAATTCTTGGGGTGAAGGCTCAAGGGACAAAAATGGATTAAAAAAAGGTACAGAAACAAAGAAGGGTGGAGGGGGTCTTTGAAGCTCTGTTGGGGAAATGCCAAAGAGTCCAAACAGAGTCAAAGGAACAGGGAAGGAGCCAGTCCAGGGAAGGGGTCTGTAGGGCAACCTCCTGGAGATCTGGGCAGAAGCAGGGGGCCTCCAAACATGAGAGGAGCTGAGGGGGCGCAACAGTTCCAGGTGACACAGGCTCAGGGATCAGCTCAGGAGCCCTGCAGAGGACACAGAACAGTCAGATAAAGTTTACATAGGGGTCTGAAGCCACTGGAACCACTTCTTCCCACTAAGGGCCCTCAAGTCCCTTCTTAGCTTCAGGCCCCACTGGGCAGAGGCTGTATCTATGAGAACCCTGATGCCACCTAGGTAGAAGGATCTTACCTGTTGGTTGTGAACCCTGATTTCCTGGGAAAGGAAGAGAGACAGACATATAAATCCTTGTAAATTCTAGAGCCACAGAAGCAAAAGGCAACAAGGTTCTGAGTACTGTGGGATGGGGGGGCTCCCACCACTGCTTGGCCCAGTACCTGGACACCACAGAGGAAGCACTTAATTGAAGCTTTATCCATCCATCTACAACTATGTGAGTGGATGGGGGAAGGGGAAAGGGCAGGGGGAGGGGCTAAAGTCTAGAATCTGAGACTCCTCTCAAGGCTGCCTCCACTAGTGAATCTGGGATTCCCTAAGACCCTGGAGCCCTGGGATCTGGCCCCTTCACCACCTTCTATAAGTTCCTAGGGAAGGAAAATGTGATCCCAAAGCCAGAGCACCCCTTCACCTCTGACCTGGGGCCAGATTTCTGACACAATCAAATATCCTGTCTCTTGGAGATCACAGAAGGGAGGGGCCTCAGGGTTTTCCCCAGAGTGTCTCACCTTTCTGACTCCTCTTGTAGACAAAGAGGCCAACCCCAAAGAAGATCAGGCCCAGCACGAGGCCCCCGACTCCACTCAGCATCTTACTCTGGGCAGATTCAGACTGTGCTTCTAGGGAGAAGAGACACCAAGTATCAAAACTTTCCCTCCAGGAGCCAGCCCCATGTGGGGAGTAGATGGGTCTGAGCTGTCTGAGAAAGGAAGGGATGGATGTGCAAAGGGCCTTTCAGGACTCAGGAAATGAAAGCTCATTAGGGGACACTGACACCAATCCGTGTCAAAGCCCAGCTGCCCTACCTCAGGGGAAGGGGTCTATAAGCTGATCACAGAGTCTGATGGGTAGGCCAGCTCCCAGGCCTGGAGCCAGTGAGAAGGCTGACCAGGTTCTAGGTCTCCAGAGGTGCACTGCCATTAGGGGGCTGTTCTGGGGAAAGGGGGAGACTGGGTAGCACCACACTGGGTTTGTATGAGCCCAGGCCAGAAGAAAAGAGGGCACAGGACACACACTAAGGGGATCTCAGAGCTAGCTCCATGTCCTGAGCAATGTTAGAACTGGAGGGTGAGGGAGCAGTATCTCACTCCAGTCCAAGACAACAGGTTTCTGAAGGCTGGAGTGCTCCACTTGGCAGGTGTAGACGTCTCCACGCTTGGGGGTCATTTCCAGCATCACCAGGAGCTGGTAGGTCCAGTCTCCATTGCTGATCAGGCCTGTGGACACAACCCCAGCCGTCTCCTCCTGCCCATTCAGGAACCACCTGACCTCAATGTCCCCAGGATAGAAACCACTGACAGAGCAGACAAGCAGGTTGTGGTGTCCCAGGGGAGCCATCTTTGATGGATACACAATCACCTCGGGCTCAACTGGAAGAAAGAAGAAAGATCTAGAGTGAGGGAGACAGAGCAGGTCTTCCTAGTGCAGCCCCCACCTCTGTCACCTGATCCACAAGCAGGCTTAGGGTCTCCTCTCCTCCCCAGGGCCAGAAATGGGCATCTTGGTAGACACTTAAGCTCCCCCTAAGACTAGAAATCTGAACCAGTAGGAAGTAGGCCCAGGAGTCCACGGTGCTGCATTATCACAGCCCCAGCTCATCAGGATTCAGTGATATGGGAAGAAATTAGCAGGCAAGTTTTCTTATTATAAATGGATACTTTCTAATGGATTATTTCCAAAAGCAGACCATAGGTGCAGATAATAAACTATTTTGAGAAAGATTTCCAGATCAAAAATTAATAGACATTATGAATCCACTGAAGAAATTTTGAACGAGGGGAATTATGGAGAACATCTAAGCCCAGTAGAAATCTGAGCATCCTGACCCAGAGTCCAGAGTTCCTGGGAAAAGCAGGAATATCTCTGAGTCCACGGAGAAAGACAACGTCAGTGATAAGGCCTCAGTTGGAAGAGTTTGTGTTATCAGAGAAGGCTGAGAGGGGGAAAGGAGGGAGGGAAGGTTGAGACAGGAGAGAGCAGACCATGGGAGGCTCTGCTGAGCTTAGTTTCAAGGGATACAAAAAGGAATAGTTTTATTTAAGATTTTAAAAGGTTCATGACACCTGGGCAGTGAGGACTTGGGGGATTTCATTTTATATTAACCATTTTGTTGTTCAGCATTTTTTTAATCATGTCCAACTCTTTGTTACCCCATTTGGGGTTTTCTTGGCAAAGACACTGGAGGGGTTTGCCATTTCCTTCTCCATCTTATTTTACAGATGAGGAACTTAGGCAAACAAGGTTAAGTGACTTGTCCAGGGTCACACAGCTAGGAAGTTTCTGAAGCCACATTTGAACTCAGGAAGATGAGTCTTCCTGACTCCAGGCCTGGCACTCTTTACACTGAGCTATGCAGCCGCCTAGTAACCACTCTTGCTTGGCTTGTTCCCTATGTAATTTATCCCCATTAGAATTGGAGGAGGTAAAACCTCCTGAATTTGACTGAGGAAAAAGGACTCAAGGAATAAGAATCCATGCTGCTATAAGAGGGTTTCTCCCCCCCTCTCCAGCACATCTTCCCTCTGTCCCTACCCTCTTTCTCCATCATTCATTCTCCCCTTTCTCCTCCTCTCTCTCCCCTTCCCTTGTCCCCTTCACTCATCTCCACTTTTTCTGCTCCTAACTCCTCCCCATCACCTCTGTTGCCCTTTTCTCCCTCTGTCACTTCCCTACCTCTTCTCCCTCTCATCCCTCCTCCTTTCTCCTTCCATCCCAGTCGCTTCCCCCCATTCTTCTTCCTTCCCCCTCACCTCCCCTTTGTCCCCACTCTCCCCCTCTCCCCTCCCTGCTCCTCCCCTCTCGGTCCCCTCCTTTCCTCCTCTCTCCCAATCCATCACCTCCCCCTTCATCCCTGCTCCCCCTTGTCTCTCCCCTGCTCTGGGGGTCCCTGTCCCTGCATCTGCTCCTGTGGACCCCCCTCCTCCTCACCCGCCCCCCTCCCATCACATCCTCCCCTCCCTCTGCGCTCCTTCCAGCCCCTTCTCTTCTCTTCCCTCCCTGCTCTGCCCCCTCCCCGGGCGCCCGCCCCTCTCCCGCTCCCTCCCCCTCTCCCGGGTCCCTGCCGGGCTCCCCTGGTCCCTTCCCCCTCCCCGGGCGCACTCACCGCTCCTGCGCACTAAGAAGGGCTCAGACACCCGTAGTTGTGCCTGCACAAGTGTCCACCGGGCCCGTTCTGCCTCCAGGATCTCCTTCTGGCTGTTCCAATACGCAGCATCGGGCCGCCCCAGCTCCGTCACCGCCACAAACTCCCCCACGTCGCTGTCGAAGCGCGCGTACTCCTCCCGGTTGTGGATGTGTCTCTCCACAAGCCGCACGCGCTCCGTCCCGTTCTCGAAGTAACACTCGGCTTCATGCTCCGTGAAGTGCTCTGGGGGACACGGGGAAGGTCAGCCCTGACGGACACCACCCCCTCGAATCACTCACCTCAACCTGGGCCTCACCAACGAGAACATGGCCCATCCGGCTGCCCTTCCTGCGCATGCTCAGCCCCACCCCCTCTGAGGCCCAGAGACTATGAGCGGCTTTTCCGAGGTCACATGGCAAATCTAGAATGGAGGCAGGACTAGAACCCAGGTTCCCAGACCTATCTATCTGCTGTGTCATAGCTGCCTCTCAACCACACCCAGCCTGCTGCAAACACTCCCAGGAAGTTTTACCCACCAACCACCCCAAGTCCTCCTCACCCCAGTTTAACCCACTTCTCTGATCCTTATCCCTCCAGTGTGTCTTTGTATCCACCTCCCCAGCCCCTCTGCGGAGACCCGGGCAAGTGACAGACACCCTCGGCAGGCTTTCATAACCTAGAGGTCACATCCCTCTCTGCCCTTTCATCAGAGGACAATAATCAAATCAATATTACCCTGGCTACTGAAAAGGGCATGGTGATCTGCTGTGCTGTACAAGGCTCTACTCACCATTCCTGTGACTGCTGGACCCCAGCTACCTCCCCCAGTCACCCCTCCTGGCCATGTCTTACATCCTCCTCAGCCTAAAATGTAAGCTCTTTGAGGGCAGGAAATGACTTATTCTTATATGTAAACTAGCACTCAGCACAGTGCCAGGCACATAGTAAGCACTTAATAATGCTAACTTACTGATTCGTATCACTTATCTATCCACCCCACCAAGGATAAATGCTTTTTAGAAAGTCTAAGTCTGACCACTTCACTCACCTCCTCAAGAAGGTGTAGTGGCTCCCTATGGACCGTTGGAGAAATTTCAAAACCCTAATCTTGGCGTGTAGAGCCCTCCCCACTCTGACTCCAGCCTACCTTTCCAGCATCTCCTGTTATTCCCTCTCACACACAATTTGTTTCAGTCAAACTAGCTTCTTGCTGCTCCCCAAATGCAGCATTTCATCTCCCACCTCCACATCTGTGAACAGCCTCCATGCCTGGCCTGCCCTCTACACCACCCCCAACTCAAGGATTCCTTGCTTTCTTTATACTCAACAGTCTTTCCTTCTTTCTGGAATGGTGTACTTCCCCAAACAACAGAGTCAGTCAATCAGTAAGCATTTATTAAGTGCTTACTGTGTGCTAGGAGCCTTGTTAGGTGCTAGGAATACAAATATAGAGAATGCAACAATCCCCAGCTTTACATTCCAATGGGAGTGACAAGTGTCCATAAAAGTGTAGATAGCCTGAATCCACATGAGGAGAAGACATGGAGGGAGGAAGGGAAGACGCTGGCATTTGGGGGCATCAGGAAAGGCTTCACCTAGAAAGTGGTGCTTGAGCTGGGTCTTCAAGGAAGAGAGGATCTGTGAGGCAGAGGGAAGGAGGGAGGGTATTCCAGGAATGGGGGATGGCTGGGACAAAGGCCCAGAGATGGGAGATGGTACGGTGTGTGAGAAAAAGGCTCACAGAGTACAGGAAGGGGAAGATTATCAGTAAAATGAGGTTCCAGCCAGATTATGAAGGAATAAAGAGAAGTTCTAACTGATCACAGAAGCACTAGGGAGCCATTGCTGACTATTGAGGAGAGGAGGAACTTAGATTTGCAATTAAGGAAAAACACATTTTTAGGTGTGTGACAGATGGTCTGGAGTGAACAGAGACTTGATGCAGGGAGAGTGATTAGGAGGCCATCATAATAATCTGGGTGAGAGGTGAGGAGGGTCTGCTCATATGGTGGCCATAGAAGCAGAAAGGGTTGTATTTAGGAAGAAATTGAGATTAGCTCAGCAAGTGCTGAGTTGTGGGAATTGGGTGAACTGCACTGACTCCATCTTGGGCCTCAGTTCTGGAGCTAGCTCAGTTCCCTTTCTATTCGATTATAGGTAGAGTCCAATTTCTGTCTTGTGAGAAAATTGTATTCAATGGTGTGAATTTCATTGTTTGAATCCACCTCTCCCTGCTGCTTAGAGACCCTTAACTAAGGCCCGAGGTTATGCTGAGCAGAAACAAGGGCTGATGCAGAGACTGAGGCAAGGAGTTTTCTCACAGCTGTACATCCCAAGCGACCCATCTGTCTTATCTGAAAACTGGGCCCATACTAATCCATCAGTTATCGTTTCCATGTTCCTTTCATTGTTCACAAACACTTGTGGGGGGGAGGGTGACACCTCTTTTTCTGATTTCAGGGAATTGCACCTGTTTGCTCTCCCCCTCCCAACTTGGAATGTCCCTAATCCTTCCTCTTCTAACATTTTCCCCCTTTTAGATCCAGGAGTTGCCAAATTTCTGACATTGTGCTTCTTAATCTTAAACACATGTTTACTTCCCTGACACTCTGAGCTAGCTGTGCTGCTAACTCCTGAGTCCATCCCCATACCTTTGACTGCCCTACTCAGCTCAGTCCTTCCTACCAGTATGCCAGTCTACAACATGGCTCTCTGCCCAGCTCCAGAGGCCAGGCATGATGGCTCGAGCTTCAGCACCTGCAGTGGCCTCTGCTTTGTGATTTAAAATCTTCTCCTCTCAGGGGCAGCTAGTTGGTGCAGTAGATAGAGCACTGTCCCTAAAGTCAGGAGGACCTGAGTTCAAACTCTGCCTCAGACACACAACACTTACTGGCTGTCTGACTCTGGGCAAGTCACTTAACCTTAATTGCTCCACCCCCCCCAAAAAAAATCATCTCTTCTCCAAAGGATCTACCTCACCCTGTCACTCTTCATTGTCAGTTAGATAAGGAACTTCTTTAGCCTAGAAATGAAGGCCTTCTCCACCTGCTCTCCATTTCCCTTTCTAGCCTTCTCTTCCACTTTCACCCACATGAAACCTCAGCTCAAGCCAAAGGCTGTGGACAAACCCTTAGTTCCTCCTTGTACTTGCCCTTTTCTGTGGTCATTCTCCCATGATGCGGATTCTCTCCCTATTACTGGGAGATACCACCATCCTGCCAGTCACCTAAGCTCACAACGTCAGTGTTATCCTCACTCTCATCACCCATATTAAATACACTCCATTTTCTGCTCTGACCCTGCCATGGCCCTGATTCAGGCCCTCACCACCTACCACCTATTGCAGTAGCTTGCTGGTGGGTGTGCCTGCCTCCAGTCTCTCCCCACTCTAGTCCATCCTCATTCTACTGTCAAATGGATCTTCCCGAAGCACAGATCTGACCTCGTCACCCACCTGCTCGTTAAACTGCAATGGCTCCCTATCACCTTCAGCATCATATTTAAAAATCCCAGTTTGGCCTTCAAAGCCCTTCACAACCTGGCCCTTCTCACCTTTTCACTCTCCTTACCCCTGACTCCCCCCCCCATGTGCTCTGGATCCAGTAACACTGGCTTCCCTGCTCTCCCTCCTACCAGACACTCCATCTCTCAGCTCTGGGCATTTCCTCTGGCTCTCCCCCAGGTCTGGAATGCTCGCCCTCCTCATCCCAGACTCACGCCTTCCCTGGCTTCCTTCAAGTCCCAGCTAAAATCCCATCTTCCACAGGAAGCCTTTTCCCAGTCCCCCTTAATTCTAGTGCCTCCCCTCTGTTCGTTATCACCAAGTTATCCTAAATATAACTTCTTTGTACACAGTTGTTTTCATGTTGTCATCCCCAGGGACTTTTACCTTTCCTTGTATCCCCTGCAGTTAACACAGTGCCTGGCACATAGCAAGAGCACAATAAAAGTTTGGGGGGCAGCTAGATGGTGCAGAGGATAGAGCACCGGCCCTGGAGTAAGGAGGACCTGATTTCAAATCTGGCCTCAGACACATAACACTTACTAGACCCTGGGCAAGCCACTTAACCCCAATTGTAGAAAGAAGAAAGAAAGAAAGAAAGAAAGAAAGAAAGAAAGAAAGAAAGAAAAGAGAAAAGAAGAAGAAGAAAGAAAGAAAGAAAGAAGAAAGAAAGAAAGAAGAAAGAAAGAAAGAAAGAAAGAAGAAGAAAGAAAGAAGAAAGAAAGAAAGAAAGAAAGAAAGAAAGAAAGAAAAAGTAAGTTTGGGAGGCTACTTAAATACTGTGTTGTTTGGATGATTGTCCACAAGGGGGCAGCACCTGTTCAGTACACCCATGGTTATAGCAGGATGATACTGGAGTTGTCAGCTAGGTTAAGCAGCCATCACTCTGCTAGAACTGGGAGATCCCACTGTCCTTGGGTGTCTCCTTCCTCAGTCCCTAACAGACTGTCTCTAGAAGGCCCTTCTCTCTTGCCCAGCCTCGGAGAATGGATGTTACACATGGCATACTCTCCCCCCAGAGTCAGTGCAGTGATAAACCTCAAAAGTGGGTCAGATTCCTTGAGAACAGGTTAGGATCCCAAAGAGACTGTGGTGGGCCAGGCCAGGCTGCAGGGGAAATAATGCAGACAGTGCCAGAGGGGCTTTTATCTGTTCCACTATAATACTTACACTAGCTGGAAGAGGATTGTGTCCCATCCCAGAGGCCTCCCTCCCTGCCCGAACAAAGGATCTTACACCTCTACTGGGTCATGGCAGAGGCCCTTTGATCCTGACCAGGCTTCAGGGACAGCAGCAATAGTGTGGAGACCAGAGATGACACTGAAAGATGGGGAGTAGGGAGTGCAAGCCTGGCCTGACCAGGGGAGTGGAGGATGAGGGAAAATTGAGCCTACACCTTTTTTTTTCAGTCCATTAACAATGGATCATGAAGACAGGAGAAAAGCCAGCCTGGATCAATCCCCTTGGTCTCTCTAGACCAGTACCTGCCCCTAACCTGCCTCTGAGAAATGGATGGGAAGACATTCCCCTACTCCACCATGATGTTATTCATGAAAACCAGGGGTGGTCCCAAACACTCCAGCGTCACTCATGGCCTTGAAATCATACCTGGGAAATTAATCCAGGAAAGTCTACCCCTTGCTCCCCCAATAACAACCAAATTTAAACCTTTCCAGCAGCTTAGGCAAACTTTGGGACAATCTGTAGTGGGACAGAAGCACTCAGTCGGGGTGGCAGCTCT